CAGGAGAAGCTCCACCACTGGTGTAAATCAGCAGCAGCACGCCAGCTGAGCTTTGGGGGCCTACCTCACTCAGGGTCTAACCCTGTACCTTTGGGTCTGGGACAGGAACCATTTGTCAGAATTTACTTGGTGGCAAAAGTCATCCTGGTGATAAAAGGCCAGAAATCAGCATTTCACTCTTTAAAAAAAGCTCCATTAATCCTGAAAAGTCGAAGGCTGGCTGCAGAGTGTTAAATATTTATCTTTAGATTTATTTTATTTTTTAACGCAGGGAATTTTTCAGCAGCAGCATAAGGTTTCCAGCTTCAGAAGAATGCTTTACAGCAACTCCAAGCTTGCAGATGAGGGCAAAGCAGCCCTGAGCAGAAAGTATTTTACCAGAGATGTCCAGCGATGGGAAGTTCTTTTTTTCCTTTTTTTCATGGAGAATAATTGAAAAACAAAACAGGAAACAGGCCATAAAATCATGATCCAGGAAAGCAAAACTGTTTTAATCAGCAAAGGAGCAATCAATTCTTTCATGTACCAGCTGATTTAAAACAACTGCTTTTCATCTCTGGGAGCAAACCCTACAGCAGGTTACACAGCTTAGGAGGACTGCAAGGCTGCTTTTGCAAACACAATGCCCTGAGCTGTGCTTAAACCAATAAGGGCCAAACGTTGCAAGAATCTCACTGTTTCCCATGCGGGGAAGCCAGGGACAGTTGGGTCAGTTTGTCTCACCTCTGGCAGCACCCGCCAGCCCCCGAGCTTCACCCCACTCCTCTTGCACAAAGTCAGCTACCGGCATTTGACTTGAACTCATTTTTGAAAGCCATTCAGATCTCCCAATCTAGGGCATCGCTGAAAGGAAACACATGTTAATAGAATTTCTCTATTGATGCAAAACGCACCACTGGCCCAGGAGATTCCTACCCATCTAATTACTCCAGAGCCTCCTGGGAAAGGGCAGTTGTTCCTCTGTATTCCCTAAAATCTGCTACAGGCCACTCTCTGAGCCATGGAGGGTGAGCAGGACCTTAGACTTGACCCAGCACTGACAGTCTGTCCTAAACTTGACCAAACTGGAATTTAGCCCCATTGCACTAACAGACTAAAATAGAGCCAGAGATGCTTACTTCTTTACTAATACACTTCTATGCCTCTGCTCATGCAAGGGAGATGCCTTCCTGCTCCTGTGGCTTGTCCTCACGCCTCTCTGTTGGATTTCGGGTGCTGCAGCCCATCCCACTTCCCTGTGCACTTCTGGATCCAAGGCGCTTGCCCCAGGCGCTGGTGGTCCCTGAGGGAACGATAACTCATGGGGAACCATCCAACAGCCAAGAAGGTCCTTTGACCAGGAAGAAGTGTTAAACAACCAGCTCAAATATCAACATCTCCATTTGACACCTGACCCACCTCCCAGAGGTCCAACGTCATCTCTTTGCCTGGGCTTGCCGGGCCGTGTAGATGCACCCCTCTTAGCCCAAAAGGGGGTCTGCTTGCAGCCTCAGTGGGTGAGGGACATCCCCTACCCTGGAACCAGCTCCGACTGCAAGGAGGGTGTTTTATGGAGTTTCTGCTCTCCAGTCAGGACTCGGACTACAGTCTTCTTCGTTCATGGACTGGTCAGGATCTGGCCCTGCGTACCTCTCAACAGAGCGTTCGTGAGCTGATGGAGCATTCGTGGCTAATGCTGGGGCTGGGCTCTCTGCTAGTCATAATCTCTCTTCACTCCATTTCTGCAGCTTGGGATAAGGCACAGCAATTGCAGCTACAAATATTTAACAAGTTACAAAGATGTTATTATAAACGAGCTGCAAAGTGAGGTACACTGTAGAAACAGTGACACAGCTCCAAGTGTAGCAGTCTGCCAGGGCACTGGCTGTAATAAAGAACTAATCTCCACAGACTTTGAACTTCTTCAGGGGTGAAAGAGCAGGGAATGTTAAGAAAGGAAAAAAAAGGAGGAAAGAAGAAAAAAGAGAGAAGAAAAAAGAGAGAAGAAAAAAGAGAGAAGAAAAAAGAGAGAAGAAAAAAGAGAGAAGAAAAAAGAGAGAAGAAGAAAAAATGCTGGATAAGATAATAAAAGTGGATAAGAACCTCATCCAGCTCCCTGTCACTTGGCCCAGCCACCAAACCCAGAGGGACATCCCGGAGGCAGGAGGCCCAGGGCGAGGAGCAGGGGCACTGGGTGGGAAGGGGGGTACTCGTGACACAGCATTACTGATGGACGTGGGCCGAAACCTGTTGGGGGGGGTCCCCAAGGCCTGGGAAACTCATTTTCTGTGAGCAAAGTCACAGGCCAACGTTGTTGCTCGTCTAAGCATGCTGCCCTTGGGACATCTCCAAAAGGCTCCTCCCTGTTACCAGCTCCTCAACCCTCTGAGAACGGGTCCAAAACCCTGCAGAAACAAGAGGATGTATTAGCAGGATGACAAATGTGGAGATGGGTGCAGGCAGTCACCACTCTCTTCCACAGCAACCCCTGCAGCTCCTGCAGCTCCCCAGGCATGTTTCGGGACACCTGCCAGGCCAGATCGCCTCAGCAGGAGCCCCCACATGTCACTGAGCTGGCACATTTGGGCTGTGCTCAGCGGACGCTGCCACAGGCTGCCCCGCGCTGCAGGAAAACCCGCCAAGCCTGAGCCCGACATCTCCACGCACCAGTGCCAGGCTGCACGTTCGGCGATGCCACCACAGATGACGTCCGTGCCGCGCGGGGAGGCAAGTCCCCCCCTCCCCGCCCGCACGCCATTAACCTTTGAGCCCCGAAATAAAAGGTCATAAAAATTAACCAAAGTTCGTTACGCCCCATGGTGTGCCATTTGCCCGGGAACGAGCTCGGAGCGCCGAGGTAGCTCTCTCCCCATCGCAGGGAGGAATGAGTTGCCGCAGGCCTCCGCAGCCCGGAGGGGCCCTTCCCCAGCGGGGGTAAAGGGCCGAGGACACAGTCGAGACTGCAAAGACCAGCGTCTCAGGGAAAGCAAAATAAAAGCTGTCAGAAATGGCAAATGTAATAAGATGTTGGAAGTTCAGACATGGGCCAGAAGGACAGGAAGGCAGCTCTGCCATGTCAGACACAGGGAGTCGCTGCCCCCGAGGGAAACAGCCCCCTGGAGTACTTTATTTGACTGGGCTGAACTGCTGATATTGTGAAGGACACAACCCTAAAGGCACCATTTCAGTTATTTGCACCTTACTTTTACCTTTGATGGAAAGTTGGGAGCAATCGGACACAGTTCAGTTGCACAAAGCTTCATCAACTGAAAGTCCATTAAAGTCCTGTTGCCACCCTCAACGCCATTACAACACTCTCCAGACCGTGCTCGATATTTGGCCACAAGGAAGACAGAGCACCAGAGGGATGGGGCGAGCGTAGCTGACGGTGCTAGATGACCCCCTGCCCCCTGTGCACAGTCCCCTACAGCGCCCAAGAGGGCTGCTGTTGGCTCTGGAAAACCCTCCAGGGCCAACAGTACCAGCTGAGATGAGGGAGACAGTCGGCAGGTCACCGTGCCCGAAGGAAGCCCTCCTGGCCTGCAACTGCCCTGCAAGGAGGCCGGGCAGGAGCAGCAGCTGGCCCCTGGACCGGCTGGTTTTCCAAGGTCACCCCTCCCAGACACTGTGGCCACAGAGACTCAGAGCCTGGATCATTCGCACAGCCCAGGTGGGCTGAGAGAAGACGAGCTGTGACGTGGAGACATCCCCCGCGATGACAAGGTCACAACCGAAAAGCCAGGTCTCCCCTCCACAGGGAGTGCTGGGGTGTGCCCTCTCTATCACTGTCCACTCCTCCTCACCCCATCTCTCATGGGTTTCATCCCTGGGACATCGCAGAGCCCCTACACCAAGCAGCAATGCTGCTCACCAGCCCCAGCCCATCCCCAGGTTTGCCCAAGTGCCTGCAACCACGACCTCGGTGTAGAGCAGCCCCTACGGCTGCATGTCCCAGCACACCAGCTCCATCACAAGTCTCTGTTCCCTTATTTTCTCACCAAATCAAAAGCAGAGTATTGAAGCCAGGTGACTTCAGGTACCAAAACGGCCAGGGCAGCGGGAAGACTGAAGAAAGCTCCTGAACAGCAGTAGAAGGGGAGGCGTTTAGCACCTCTGGAAACCAAGCCCCTTGAATACATCCCTCATTCCCCTTCCAGCTGAAACAGTAGGAATTTACCTGTAAGAAGTCACCACTTGGAGATCCTCAACCTGCAAACAACTGCACACAAGCTCAGCTGTATGGTTACACATGATGCCGGGCAAAACAAAGCACATGCTAAAGCACCCGCGGGATTCTGCCTTTGGAGCCACCTGGCATTTGGTGCAGTGAAGGAGCACAACAGAAGCAAGTGCTGATCTGGATCCCAAAGTCCTCATGAAGGCAGGTGACAACACAGCACCGTCACGTTCAGCCAGAGAACAACCTCCCACCACCCTCCTGCAAGGACAGGTCTTAGTAGCATTGGCTCAATGACAAGCAAGCCCAGACATGCTGCTCGCAGGGCCTGGAAACAAAGCCCACGTCTTCTGGTCAGATGGATACCCTTGCATATATCAAGAAATACCCCCACCTGCCTTCCAGCCTAACTGTTTCTAATCCCATTTGTGACATAGTTATTAGAAACCTCCTCAACCAAGCAGCTGTAAGTACTGCCCCAGCCAGACGTTCCCACTGAGGGGCAGAAAGGGTGCCAGTCTACCCTTCCAAGGAGCAAATCACACCGTGAAACCCTAAGCTCTCTTTTAAGAAGCAAAAGAATGCAGTTACTGTGGCATGAAAGGGGAAAAAATATATATATCAAGGACTCATTTGTTATTATGCCACTGCGCAATGAACTGAGCCATTGTTTCCTATCCAGTATAACAATGCCTTTCAGAAAACAAGAGTGCTTTTCTCAATACGTTCTTTAAAGGATGTCAAGACCATAGCTGCCAGAGAACTGGTGAGCGGTTGAAAAAAAAATAGAGCTAACATTATTCAGAAGATTTTCACACTTGATCTGTAAACACTTTTTTATTTAATAAAAATAATCATCCATTATAGCAACTTCTGCTTTTTTTTTTTTCAGTAAAGCACAGCTTATTTGCTTACCTCACCTCTTGAGGATTCAATTCTGAAAATGTAAGTGAATGTAAACATTGCTCTCCAGGTCCCAAAATACATCCAGGGATCCTTGGAGTTAATTACACAGTCCAAAGAGAGAGCAAAATCAACAAAACACTTCCAAAAGTAAAAAGGGATTATTTTTTCTAAGTCTCTTCCTGTGCACTGTACAACTCCAGTATAGGTAAATTCACTTTATACAAAACACTCAAATAAACTTTGCTTTTTCGAAACAATTTCTGTGATTTGTCAGTATTCAACAAAGCTGTTGTTATAACATTAAAAGGCTTACTTTCCAGCTCACGTAGACAAAAAAAGCTTTTCCTTCTAATATTGTCCAGACACTTCTTCACGGCACAAGGATGTTTGGTTTGTTCTGTTTTGTTTGGGTTTTTTGTTGTTTTGTGTGTGTGCGTGTGTGTGTGTGTGCGTGTGTGTGTGTGCGTGTGTGTGTGCGCGCGCGCCCATGTGTGTTTAGCAGATAAAGCTGAAATACATTTCAGGAAAGGAGTGTAAGAGCAGTATTAATTAACACTTTCTCTCCTGCTCCAGTCTGACAATATTTACATTATTTCTTTTTTTTAAAAAAAAGCATGATTACACTATAAAATACTGGGAAAACCATCAGTAAGTTTCCCATTCCAGAGTTTTGCTCTGTATGAGACTGAGATTGAAAGAGGAATGGTTCGGTACCTCCTACAAAAGATGAGAGCGGCAGATTAAAAACTTAACTCATGTCGCATAATTCAGAAAGGTAGAACAGCCTCTGTGCACAACCCCCTTGCAGGAAAACCCGCAGGAGTTAGAACGTCAGAAATCAATACAAATCAGATAACATGATATGTGGAGCCCTGATACCTGCTTTGAAATGTTATCTATTTACAGTCGGAGGTGGGGGAAGTGAGTTAGCATTGAACACATTTCAGTGCTGCAGCGTGGTATAATATGAACGGAGATTAACTCGTTGGAGCTTGGCCAGGTCCCAAGCCTCACGCTGTACGAGAAACAGCTTGTCACAGCCGCCGGGTTATCCCTGACTACATGCAAAACCACTGGTCTTTTAGGGTCTGCTTTAAACTAACAAAAAGAGGAAAGTTACTCTCTCAACTGAACTATGTCGCAAACAATTTAAAAATTAAACAGAATCAGGTATGATATTAAAAAAAAAAAAAGTGTTACGTGGTCTGTGAGTTTAAGCTTTATAGCCAAAAACCCAACAGGGCATTTGAAATTAATGTTATCAAACTGCCAGGTAGGGGAAATGACCCTAACTGTTCAGGGGGAAGGGGAGGACAGAGAGAGGAACTTTTAACATGTCAAAGCATTCACAGTTTCAAAGCTGCTTGCCTTACAAAAATTAAGACATTCAGGTTCAGGGATACAACACTGTATTTTACAAGAGGGTTAAAATTAATTACGTATTGAAGAAAAAAAAAGATACAACAACATAAAAAAGCCAACACCTCTGAGGTGGTATACTCCCTCTTTGTTGTTCATCTCATGGAGCTGCGCATCAGTTGTTTTGTCTTTAAAGAGTCAAACTGAGCAGTCACAAAAATATCCACAGAGAGATTCTGGCAAAAGAAAAAAAACTAACAAAATAACCAAGCAAGTCAAAAGCCATCCTCCCCTGGAAAGCCAAATGCCACGGCCAGGCTTCCACTTGCCTGCTGCTGCCCGGCGTTTCAACAGGCTCGTCTCGGGTGTTAAAGGCTTCCAGCTTGCGAGCTGCAGGAAACCATCCCGTGCAAGCGCAGCCCAAGAGACCCATGCCTTGCTTTCCTACAAAGTCTGGAATCATTTAGTCCTGGTGGCAGCAAAGGGTCCTTCAAACAATCCTTTTCCTCTCTATCCTGCAGAGGATCCTTTTGAATGCCCGTCTGAAGTCATGGTTGAAAATGGTATAGATGACAGGGTTCAAGGAGCTATTGCAGTAACCGAACCAGAAGAAGAACTTGAAGAGGGTGTCGGGCACAGAGCAGCTCTTGCAGACGGCCAGAAGCGTGTAGGTGAAGAAGAAGGGGAACCAGCAGATGACAAAGACCCCAATCACCACCGCCAGCACAAAGGTAAAGCGCTTCTCCCGGTTCTGCCTGCCCCTCCACCGGGACCCTTTGGTGTTTCTCTCCTCCTCTGCCTTCCTAGGCAAACTGTCCCCAGGCTTAATCTGGCTCAACTTAGTCTTGGCCTTGCCCCTCGATGGTCTGTCTGACTTCTTACACTGGTTGTTCTCCTGGTGCTCGGAGGAGGAGGTCTCCTCCATGTCTATGCCGTTGACCTCTCCCTCCTGCCCATCACCGCCTCCTGCTGCCTTCTCCCCATTAAGCTGGGCTGTTGCTGGCAGGTCCTCCTTGTCGGCCAAGCCGTTCTGCCTCTTCTCGGGGCACTCTGCCCGTCTACTTGGTGGTACCCTGGTCCGCCTCTTGGCTATCTGGTAGATGCGCATGTACACCAGTATCATGATAAGGCAGGGGGCAAAAAAGGAGCCGATGCAGGAAGAGATGATGTACCACTTCTCATCGTTGATCTTGCACACTGCTACCCCCTGGTCAGCTTGCTGCCCGCTCTTCTTCTCAATGGAGATGAGCGGTGGGAAGGAGATGACGGCCGAGATGACCCAGACAATAAAAATGATGCACTTGATGCGGCGTGGGGTACGCTTGAGGTTGTACTCGATGGCTTGAGTGATGGACCAGTAGCGGTCCAGGCTAATGGCACACAAGTGTACAATGGAGGAAGTACAGAAGAGGACATCCAAGGCCAGGTAGATCTCGCACCAGACCTTGCCAAAGTACCAGTATCCCATGACCTCGTTCGCCAGGGAGAAGGGGATGACCAGCGTGGCCACCAGGATGTCGGCCGAGGCTAAGGAGACCAGGAAGAGGTTCTGGGGGGCTTTAAGAGCCCGGCTGGTGAAAACGGCAATGATGACCAGTACATTGCCGAAGACGGTGAAGAGCATGAGCAAGCCCGCCAGGCTGATGAGGGTCACGGTGGTGTGCAGGGGGTACGGCGTGCCCCAGCTCGGCCCAGCACCGCTGTCGTTGAAGGTCCCGTTGGTGCCGGGCGGCGGGTAGCCTTCCTCCTCCTCCAGCTGCCGCTGGTACTCCATGGAGGGGAAGAGGTGGCCCCTCTCCGTGAACGGGCGCTCCAGGTTAAACATCAACCCCGGCTGCGCGGAAACCCCCGCCCTTCACCCCT